TTTATATAATTTTATACACCTGAAGATGGTTCATTTAGAACTGAAACATGTCGTGTAAAAAGTGATGTTCTAATGTAAATAGAACATTTCGATAGAGAACATCATTTTAATATATTTTAAATATTTAAATGTTAATTATAGTAATATTTTAATATTTTAATAGGAATTTTATTGTGATCAGACTGACAAGATTTAAACAAATATACATTTATCACGATATGACGCAACATTATCATCTCTAAAAAAATTCACGTTTGTTGTGTCGTGTAGTCTGGTAGAAGTTTACCGAAGTCCTCGCCGCCTCCATCATCAGAGCGATGAATATTATTCAGTATTCATCACGAAACGTCAGTAAACGTCTACCAGACTACACGACACAAGGACCCAGAAGACAGGAATCTTTAAAAAAATTTCACAAATACAGAATTTAAATGAACCTGTAACTTTTTAAAAAATTAATACGCCAAAATTAAAACGGTGTATAAGAATGTAGCGTTAAAACCTTTTGGTTTACTAATTGGTAATAAGGGTATCAACCCATGGACCACCGTTCGTGGCAGGGCAAAGTAGAAGCCACGGATGCCAGACGTTAAGGCAAGATAATGAATGAGGTAATCTTGGAGATATAACACAGGCGTGCGGTTAGCACTCCTACTTCATATTCAACAGCTCTTTGTTTCTGTCTTGATACAGAAACTGGTTTCGTGTTCACTTCCTTCAGCATCCTTTATTATATTATTTAGTGTTCTGTGTGACGACAGGTCCATATGAACAGGATCCTTCCATCCTTTTCTCGGACTGGGACCTGTTCATATACGTTCTTTTGGCAGATGATCCAGAAGTGGTTTGCCATTGCCTGCTTCTGTGTGTGAATGGAGTAATTGGTGGGATGCCACGGAGAAACCGGGGAAGCCCCCGGAGGAAAACTCCGGGTTGCCTAGACCACGGCCTTGCCCAACAAAAGTTATAAATTCGGGCACCGCCGGGAATCGAACCCGAGACACCAGGATTACAAGGCCAGCGTTCTAACCGCTACACCACCTCATCTTATTATTATTTAGTGTTCTGCCTGACGACAGGTCCATACGAACAGGATCCTTCCATCCTTTTCTCCGACTGGGACCTGTTCATATACGTTCTACGTGATCCAGAAGTGGTTTGCCATTGCCTTCTTCTGTGTGTATGGAGTATGGAGTAATTGGCGGGATGCCACGGAGAAACCAGGGAAGCCCCCGGAGGAAAACTCCGTGTTCCCTAGACTACGGCCTTGCCCAACACTAGTTATAAATCAGCATCCTTACCAATTCATTATTAGTAAATCACCTTATAATTCACTAACATTCAACACTCTATAATCATCGTTAAATAACTACAAATACAAAATTCACTAAATGTTATCTCTGATATGTCACAGGAGTCTACAGAATAACTGATGAACCTGAAGTCTACATTGACGTGGGGGACGTCGCTGAGCTTAAATCTGTTTCAACTGAAACAGCTTTAACTCTCGGAGGAAACACAACTCTTACTGAAGCCATGAATCTCTTCTACAGCCTAGCAGAAGAGAGACCAAGTTACAAATACACAAAATTCCTTGCAGACCACATCGATTTGATCGCTAATGTTCCAGTCAGAAATGTGAGTACATACGAGGTGCGATCGGAAAGTTTCAAGACTGTGTCAATAGAGGGCGAACCGGATGTAGTACGAGCTTCTGCCGATAGGGGTTGCGGCCTACATTCATAGTGAATCAGTGTGCCAGCCGGCATCATCGAATTAGCATTTGTTTCTTAGTTACGGGCGTTTTGGTAGTGCATTACACCGACCCTCCTGCGATTTCGGAATGGCGTGTGCATCAACTTTTGCCAAAGACTCGCCAAAACGGCTACGGAAACCTATGAAATGCTAAAGCAAGCATTTGGGGAGTCCGCAAACTTTTGTGTGGCATTCACGTTTTAAAAATGGCCGAACCTCTGTCGATGATGACGAGCGTTCTGGACGACCATCTTCGAGCACAACGCCCGAAAATGTTACGAAGATCGACGTCGTACCATCAACGACTTGTGCGACATTGTTGGGATAGGCTATGGGGCCTGTCAGCTGATTCTAAAGGCAGAACTCCACATGCGACGCATCCTGTCTGAGGACCAGAAGCAGAATCGACTTGACTTCTCGTTTGTCAGGAGCTCAAAGATCTTGCAAGAACCGACCCCAACTTCCTTTCTAAGCTCCGTGTGACTTCTTCCTCTTCCCAAAGATGAAAATTCAGCTAAAGGGAAGGAGATTTGAGACGATAGAAGAGATTCAGGCAGAATCGCAGATGGTGCTTGACAGGCTGACAAAGAAAGATTTCCAGGGATGCTTCCAGGCTTGGCAGCGGCGCTGGGATCGTTGTGTTCACTCCCAGGGGAACTACTTCGAGGGTGATGGATGAATTTAATACCTGAGATAAGTGTACGGGTTTTTATAGGCGCAGTCTAGAAACTTTCCGATCGCACCTCGTAATTTAAACCGTAGTATTTACGTGCAAAGATGGCTGTCTTCTGGGTCATAGCGCCAAGTAGCCTGGTAGACGTTTACAAACGTTTCGAAAGTCCCTGCTGCCTCCAACATCGGAACAAAGGCTACACGGTGCTGCAAACCCAGAAGACGGCCATCTTCGGACAGTAACTGCAATGTTTATATAACCACTGGGACAGGAATTAAGCTCAGATCTGTTTCAGACAGCCACAATCGCTGGCAATCTCGCCATGAAGCACGAACACAATGAGTTTCCGTCGGATATGTATCTCATGTTGGAAGCTGCTGGAGCCACACTGAACATTGGTGAGTTAAACATCGACAGGGGGCGACTATCTCATATCAGTTGTGACACTCAAATGTTCTAAGCGGTAACCTTTTGAAAGAACATGTTGCCCCCATCTGCAGGGTTCAAGTTATAAGTCAGGATGGGTACGTGAAAGATTTATATGGGAATAGGATGACCAGAGATGTTTCGCATCCCCATTCTGGCTTACTACAACCTTGAAGATGAAGGTGATACTAGTACCTCCAACAAGGCTACAAACCAGAAGATCACAAATGACATGACAACCTCAAATGAGAGTGAAAATTATGTTCGTTACTTAGGAACCTAGGGTCTCGGGTTCGATTCCCCGCGGTGCCCGAATTTATAACTTGTGTTGGGCAAGGCCGTGGTCTAGGCAACACGGAGTTTTCCTCCGTGGCATCCCAACAATTACTCCATTCACACACAGAAGAAGGCAATGGCAAACCACTTCTGGATCATCTGCCAAGAACGTATATGAACAGGTCCCAGTCCGAGAAAAGGATGGAAGGATCCTGTTCATATGGACCTGTCGTCAGACAGAAAACTAAATAAATAAAATAAATACCTAGGAAAAGATAAGTAAAACCTCTTAATAAAACTTAGTCTTCGCGAAGTCTGAAATCAAATAGTAAGAAACATGAAAGTGTCAGGTGTTATTTCTCTATCTGTGGGTAAAATCAGAGACGGCAGAAATTTAAATTTCTGAGGACACTAGCCCTGAAATGAAATTGTGAACTTACATTTTTAATTATTTAAATTATTTAAAGTAACGGTGTGCGTTCCTTTGACAGCTGAGAATGGAAAGATTCTAGAAAACGTAAGCATGACGGCCTTCCTTGATATGGAAATGAAGCACAAAATTATCCACAGAATCAATTTACCCAAATTGGATGAAAACCATTATCTTACAACATTCAAGGTAATTAATATATATTTTACCACCCTTCTGTTGTACTATTACAATTATTAAGATGATATAGTTGCGTGATATTGTGATACCATATATTAATTAATTATTCGGTTTTGGTCCGTCTAATCACAATTCAAATTTAAAATTTAAAATTTACAATTAAGATAATTAAAATATCATTTGATGTTCCTCATCGAACATCAAATCATATTTTAATTATCTTAATTGTAAATTTTAAATTTTAAATTTGAATTGTGATTAGACGGACCAAAACCGAATAATTAATTAATATTACAATTATTGTTAAGCGCGCACACACGTGCGTACAAACACACTTAAGAAATCAAACAACACGCTTTTTTATGATGAGGTTCTGGGTTTTGACACGATGGAGACTTATTGGTAGATGTCAACACCTCAGAGGGCATGATGCTGGCATTTACCTACGAGACTACACGGCACGAAAACCCAGAACATCATCTCACCACCACGAAGACTTCAAATCTCACAAGTGCACGAGCACTGTCTTATTGACTAGCGTCATTGAGCACCTGAATACAAGATTCCTACTTATAATAAGATGCCTCCACTTTACTCATGATATAATATCTCACAATAAAAAAAATCAGACAGAACACTAAATAAATAAAAAAAAACTATCCTTCATCAATCAGCAATTCAACAATTTTTATTGGCATTTTAATGTTAATTTGTATTTTGTTTTGAGAGACTCAACCAAAAATAACTGCATTAAAATTGTAATATAATATTTAATGCAGACTACACATTGGACACAAATTAAATAAATTTGTGCTGGTTTTTGGTTACGTAGTTGAGAAGGCAAATTTTTTCAAGGTCCGAAAACTGGCCTTTGTAGCTGATTTTAAATTCTTTAAATGCTTCGATTTGTTTACAGACCCGTACCCAAAAGAAACAAGTATTTCAGCTTCAAGTAGATATCGTCATATAATTTCTACTTTCATTATAGATTATTTCTATCTATACCCTTTCGTGTTACCAGTAAAATTTATTCCTGGTCCTCACGCAATTAAACTTAATTCAAATTCACATTAACATATATTAGATTATAATTCATTTTTCTATCTCGCAGATTATGCCGAGGGCACAAAATGCCCATGCTTACGTGAATGCAGGTTTTCTGTTCAAAATATCAATGAATGAGAGTGGAAAAGTGTTGGAAAAGCCAAGGATCGTGTACGGTGGCATTAATCCTCAGTTCGTAAGTGTCATAACGAGTTCTAGTGGTCGTTAGAAAACTTAAAGCTCAGTGTTTCTGTACACAGTAATTAATTCTGTCTAAAAAACTATACGAGGTGCGATCGAAAGGTTTCCAGACTGCGCCTATAAAAACCCGTACACTTATCTCAGGTATTAAATTCATCCATCACCCTCGAAGTAGTTCCCCTGGGAGTGAACACAACGATCCCAGCGCCGCTGCCAAGCCTGGAAGCATCCCTGGAAAGCTTTCTTTGTCAGCCTGTCAAGCACCATCTGCGATTCTGCCTGAATCTCTTCTATCGTCTCAAATCTCCATCCCTTTAGCTGAATTTTCATCTTTGGGAAGAAGAAGAAGTCACACGGAGCTAAATCCGGCGAATAAGGAGGGTGCAGGATGACGGCCATGGTGTTTGAGGCCAAAAACTGCCGAACTGCTTCTGGTCCTCAGACAGGAGCCTTGGCACAAACTTGGCTGCGATGCG